GCTTCTCGGTATGAAGTAACAAGCTGACTTCATTATGCCGCATGTCCATGTCCCTTTCAAAACCCGGCCTGAGGCGGTTGGAAAAAAGAAACAGCCAAAACCACACACCGCGCGGAGCGAGTCGCTCGCTCGCGAGCGTTCGGCACTCCTGGTGACGCCCACGGACCCAGGCAGGACATTCGAGCCCTCCGAGACCTGCGGCGAGGAATGGGCGCATGGCAATTAGAGATTGATGGGTTGAGTCCTTGAGTCCTACCTATCTATGTGCATATCATATATATATATATATACACAGTTATATGTATATCTATATAGATAATTGTGTATATATAAGGTTGTGTGTGTGTGTGCTCGAGTGTGGGGCCAATGAGCCAAAGTAAGAAGTCGACGAACACTGCGTTTGGTGAACACTCCGAGTCACTTAAGTCACTTGGCGACGCGTGGCGAACGCTGAAGCTCCTCGCCCTGCAAGAAATAGGAAACATGCCAACAGCAGTACACCCCTGGTTCACCACCCAATGCTTCAAGTTGTTCTACCGAGCGAACACAGTCAGTCGTCAATTGGATGAGACCAGCGAGTTTGATGAGCCTTGAGATTGTCTGGTCTTCCACTCTGCTCGCGAGCAGGGATGCAAGACCTTTCAAACAGTTTCCAGCGTATCTACCAAGTGGATAAAGCGAGCCCTCCTTTCTGTTTCCAGCGGCGGATCTTCCATCTATCGACGCTCTGGTGATCACACAGCTGATCTTTCTCACTTCAATACTGGTTAAACATGCAGTAACGGTGGCTGAAGCAACTAGCGGGCTCTCCTCTTTTTGGAACCCAGTTCACGGACTCCCAGATCAATCACCTCTTCCTTCCCGTTTGACGTCTTCTTCCTTCCGCGACCTCGTCGAAGCGACGGCGCAGCAATTTCATCATCTCCTCGGAGACGGTGTGGCAATCAGACACCCTGCAGTGCTTGCACAAACAATGGGCTTCACCTACCCCCTACCCCCCCCCGTTAGACAGGCCGCTTCCCGTCTCCCAGCTGATGGTCCAAATTGATCCAACCAGGGGTCGCAAAGGGGTAGTTTTGAGTCCCTAAGCGAGTGGATAATGGGCACCCCTATCCTCCAATAGGCACCCCTTTGTGACTCCTGGAAATTGTATTTTTTAGTTGATTACGTGACCAACCAGTTTCAGCTAGAGTGAATCAATAGCGCCTTTGTGGGAAGGATCCCCTAAGACCTTGGAAGACATGTCGAGCACGGAGAAAGCTCAACCACAGCATTGGTTCATCCGTTCATCGTATCCCCTGGAAGAACCAGGGCACCCAGTCCACAGGCTAAGCCAACCTTCGCAAATGTTGGACAAACATGGACAAACTGTGCACCGGTCACGACGTTGTTCCCGAGTCGCTTGACGTTGTTGTACCATCAAGGCCTCCACCTCATGAAGCACCTCGCTGAACCAGCGGTGTTTCCAACATGCACCTATGATGGATCGCATAGAAACATATACAGTAGAAACCCCGTTTATAGGAGACGTTGGCGATTCACAATTAGCCCAAGAATGGTCCAGGTCTTCTTTGCAGTTGTGAGATTCCAACGAGAGATACTATGAGGAGTGCTTCCCATGATGTCTTGACGGAAGAAGCCGTCCAAGAAAGCCTCGGAACACCTAAAACCAAAACCGACGGCCCTACTGGATGGCTTCAGGCACCTTTGAACAAAATTCCCACATGTAGACTAGATTCAAAAGCGAGGACGCTGGATTGCTGCGCCGCGCCAAGGACATGCATCAATCACATATTATTAACAACAAAAACATTCGGGCAACTATGCCAATGTACAGGTCACGCTTGTATTCGGAAACTAAACGGTTGTTTTGGGAAACTGGTATTCGGAAACTACAGAACTATATTCGGAAACTGGACGGTTGTATTCGGAAACTTGTCTTCGGAAACTACAGAACTATATTCGGAAACTGGTACGATTGTATTCGGAAACTGGCACGGTTGTATTCGGAAACTGGAGGGATCTCGGAAACTACGAAGAGCAACGCCAAACATTGCATGGAAACGCAGCAAAACTACAGGGAGTTGACTTCTTCGCACCGCGGAGACTGATAAGCTCAGTAGTAAGTAGTGAAGGTACTATGTATTAGTAAATCAAGCTCACTTACTGGTGTATACATGTTTATCATTTCTGGTTTAGCTTTGTATTGTAACACTTCTCTACCCAGACCTGGCCTCTTCTCGGCTTCCATGACAGTAAAAATTAAACACCCCACCCCCTACACCCCTTCATCCTAGACATCATCAACTTTTCACGCAACTACCCACCTATGTTTATTGCCCCCCCAACCTCCCCCCCCTTCATCCTAGAGATCATCAACTTTTCACGCAACTACCAGTACCCGCCTATGTTTATTGCCCCCCACCCACCATCCCACCTCCAAAAAATTTACAGAATACGAGGAACATAGTTGCTGAGTACCGCGAAAGTAGTTTCTGAATACGAAAATAGTTTCTGAATACAACGAAAATGGTGTCTGAATACAACGAAAGTAGTTTCTGAATACAACCAAAATAGTTTCTGAATACGACGAAATATATAGTTTCTGAATACCACGAAGTAGTTTCTGAATACGACGAAATGGTTTCTGAATACAACGAAAATAGTTTCTGAATACGACGAAATAGTTTCTGAATACGACGAAGTAGTTTCTGAATACAACGAAAATAGTTTCTGAATACAACGAAAGTAGTTTCTGAATACGACGAAAATAGTTTCTGAATACAACGAAATAAATAGTTTCTGAATACCACGAAGTAGTTTCTGAATACGACGAAATGGTTTCTGAATACGACGAAATGGTTTCTGAATACAACGAAAATAGTTTCTGAATACAACGAAATGGTTTCTGAATACGACGAAAATAGTTTCTGAATACAATATACAACGAAAATAGTTTCTGAATACAACGAAATGGTTTCTGAATACGACAAAATAGTTTCTGAATACAACGAAAATAGTTTCTGAATACAACCAAATGGTTTCTGAACACGACGAAATAGTTTCTGAATACAACAAAAATAGTTTCTGAATACAACGAAATGGTTTCTGAATACGACGAAATAGTTTCTGAACGCAACGAAAGTAGTTTCTGAATACAACGAATGGTTTTTGAATACGACGAAATAGTTTATACAACGAAAATAGTTTCTGAATACAACGAAATGGTTTCTGAATACGACGAAATAGTTTCTGAATACAACGAAAATAGTTTCTGAATACAACGAAATGGTTTCTGAATACGACGAAATAGTTTTTGAATGTACAATGAAAATAGTTTCTGAATACAACGAAATGGTTTCTACGACGAAATAGTTTCTGAATACAACGAAAATAGTTTCTGAATACAACGAAATGGTTTCTGAATACAACGAAATAGTTTCTGAATACAACGAAAATAGTTTCTGAATACAACGAAATGGTTTCTGAAGACTAATTTCTGAACCCAGTGTCTGATTTACGACTTTGTGACCTTCTTGTACAAAGCCAATGTACAGACCTTCTAGTCAACCAAGCTTTCGCTTTTTCCTCTCGCTGTCTGTGAACTCCAGATCCGTTTCCAAGGACTTTCAAAGGCTAAGACTTGCAAAGAAGCAATGTCGCGTCCAATGCGCTAGTGAGGTGAGGTACACTTCTCTTACATTAATTAGTTATCTTCACGTACCTATAGAGCTACGGCCAAATACCAACCAGCCCCCGGGATGTTGATGTCCCGCGGACCGGGAAGGGCTGATAAAGCACCGTGCGAATTACTTATCTTCACACGACCATGATACGAAAAACGATGGAGATTTAGATTGGCTGCCCTGGGTATGATGTGTTTTCCCCTTGTTCCTCATTCTTAAAAAGGCCCAGCAGACATCCCTGGCTCGTCTTGTATGAAATCCGGCTTCACCGACCAGGAAGCACCACCGGCGGAGTGGGGCGACCCACCAACCCAGCATTGCGCGGGTTGGTGAAACTGCCTCACGTAGTGTACCGCTCAGGGTCGTGGTCGCGGCGTTTTCGGATACAACGAAGGGGGGTCATCTGCAAACACTTGCATTCACAAGTCCATTGGTTTCCTATCTTCCTTGCTTCATATCGGTGGCGCCACTCATTCGCGTGCGTCCGCGCGTGCTGATTCGAAGGTTTGCCTTGGCCCCTTCGCAGCATTTTCGCACCTGATGTCACCGTTGGGAAACCGACGTTTCAATGGAATGCCGCGTTGGTCCATGACGTCCCTCCCCCCCAATCACCACGTGCCCGAGGACCGAGGACGGAGGGTGAAACCCCCATGGCCTCTGACATGTGCCCTGGAGCATCAGACGTTGACATGGCTTCCAGTGGCTTCCAGGGCTCTTGTCGCATGGTGGGAGACCGAAGGAGTTCCAGGAGAAAACTAGGAGAGGCTGCAAGGGTAGACACTACCTATATAGGTGGGGTCACAAAAAAGAAGAACTGCGGAACATTGAACTGTCTAATATCCGTTTGGAGTCGTAGCAAGACCAGAGTGGGGTGGCTTGATCTTGCGACCGTCGGCGGATTCTCTTGCAAACTCAATGTTCCAATCAACTTCTGGTCATGTTGAATTAGCATGGCGTCAGCTTTGAGCCACCACACGGCAAAATCCAGCCTTTTCTCTGGAGGGCCTCGGGTCAACTGCCCCAAAAAGAGGGTCCCATTGATCCCGTTCCTCCTTTGATTCCTTAGTCTTCCTTAGTCCACTGGTGTGCTTTCGTTGGGTGGTCACCGTCCAACGAAAGCAACTGTGCCACGGTGATTCCACGAGCTCATCGGACGCATCCGCCGAATCCGCCCGAAGCATCGGACGAATCGCACACCTCGGTGACCGAAGCATCGGAGGTGGTGCTCCGATCCAAGGAGGTGGTGCTCCGGTCCCATTCATCTCTGGTCCAATTCATCTACCTTTCCGGTCGTTGTCCATTCCATCTCTCCACCTCTGGATCGCTGAGAAGCCCTCCCCGTCCACCATGCTGGCATCTGCGCCTGGAGGCGCAAAGGGAGGCAGAGCGGGAATGAGACATCTTCGTTCCCAACACCTCCACAGTGGGAATGAGCCTGAGTGCATGGCTAAGCCTTCACACAAATGCCAAGTCGCCAATTGAGCTAGTTGAACTGTTGATGGACAAAGGAAAAGTCGATTCACCCTTTTTTCACAAGCGCAGCAAGGCTGTGCTATATTAGAAACGACGGTGTTGATGTGTGTTCAAGACGGGTGGGCTCCGGTGGTAACTGGATGTTTACCTTCCACTGATGTAACTGATGTAACGCTATTCTATGTGACCACATGCAGTCATGACGCCAGGTGACGGGGTTCGGTGGGTGGGGGCAATGAGTAATGACGTTAGGTTGGCTCATCAGAGTCAACATTTGATATTTGATTGTTGAACTTAATCTTCATCTGTGTTTTATGCGCGTCATCTTCATCTTTGTTTCCTGAACATGTGCAGTTTGCACGGGAAAAAAGGCGCGATCCTGATTTGAACTTTGTCTTAATCCCACTTTTGCATCCTCATCTTGGTTTCATGAGTTTCATCTCCATCTTCAATCTTAATGTTCTTCTCATGAACCATAAAGGTGATTCAAGAATGCTGAAAGCGGTGGGAAACTTGTGCGTCAAAATGTCCGCTTGAACAAAAATGTTCTACAATTGCTGTGGGCCAAGTCTTGATTCTTGCTATCCTTTAAAACTGGTATGCCAGTTTGGCGAAAACAGCGAACACGTTTTGTGGACCTTCTCAGTAGATTTGACCCCTCGAACATAATCTATTAAGTACATAACGTACTATTATGCAACTTTCCCTCACGAACCCCAAACGCACATCTTCATGAATCAAGGCCCGATGCAGACGTGCAAAAACACAGGGGACGATATGGCCATTGACACCATGTTTTCTTCAAGAGCTCTTCCGCTTGCATCTCTTTTCTTCAATCAACCCTGATGATGCACGCGGACATGGTGACCAGTTGAGCCGCAAGGAGAACTCTGGGCCCGCACGGCTTGCACATCAAATACTACAATCAATATTTGGCCATGTGGCACTGTGGGCATTTGTCAAAATTTTGCGGAAGCTGGCGTGGGTCCAGCTTAGTTCGAACCCCAGCACTTCCGACTTCAAGCCACATGGCAGGTGGACTGAAACGCTGAAACGATCCCAGGTCGTCTTCCCGTCGGCCTCGGGCCACCAGGTCGTGCCAAAGGGTCCGCAACTCCGACGCCAGCTGAGCGGATCGGAGCGCGGGACGCGACCGGGGCGGCGATCAAGAGGGTCAAGTAGCGTGAAACTCATAGAAACGATTGGGACCAGAGACTATAGATTCAGAGAGTTATGGTAGTATGAAACTTCTTGAAGACCTTCACTAGAGCTACACACGTGTTCTTTCGACTTCCAGGAACCAGACTTCTGGGCCTAACCAACGAACGGCGCAAACGCCGGCGGGGTCCGATGGCCGCAGGGGTGCCGTGAGGGGGTCCGAAATCCGACGAAGGATGGAACATCTTCGTTTTCAGGTCATTGTCCAGATTCCTCTGGGAACATTGAAAGAAGACTGGACCTTCTCCTGGGCGAAATACCAACGCATCATCTCCTGTTTTATTTGAACGATGATGGTTCGACTGGGTCGTGATGTTCTCCAAAGGTTGGAGACATCTAGACATCTGATGTCGACTGACCTGTGACCATGTCGACCTGTCGATCAGTCTGTCCTTCGAGTTCGTCCCGATCCATCCCGACCTGAAGCTCTCCACCGCGCTCCTGACGGATGGCAGAAGTCATCAAAGCGTAAGAGAAAGCTGAAAAAGCCTTCCACTCGTGGCTTCGGGCAGGAAATTGTGCTGATTGTGAGACATTCATGTGTTGTGTGTCGTCCCTTGTCCCTAAGGATTCTCTGAGCTTGAGGATTCGCTGTTGCAGCAGTTTCGGAAGAAGCTCAACTTTGGGGAATGCAGCTGCTTTGACCGTTTAAAAGGCCTTCGGCAATGCTGTTGCTTGCTGGTCTGTTCAGGACACGTGCGTAATTCGGCAGGCGAACACTCATCTAAACAAAGGAACATACAACAAGCATGGAAAGTGCTATGTTTATTGTTTGATTACATAATATGGATCTATCTATAATATGTGTGTGTGTGTTCCTTTCACTCAGGGTGAATTCGTCCCTGTAGCACAATCCAATGAAATGAAGGCATTTGTCTCACTTACATTTATATACAGATCGATACAGGGATTCTATATAACTTCACCCACCCCAAAAAGAAATGAAACTCAATCCAGACCCCCTGGATTGAAACCCTGAGCTGGGTCATTGCGCAAAAAACAGAATGCAAAACAGCCGTCAACAAGGACTCCGTGAGCATCCGAAAAAGATTTGCATTCACTTGGATGGTGCTCCTCCGCTAGCAGCACTTGGAGCATTCCTCAGCCGAGCCGATGAGCGGTAGGTAGCACCTCTGGTGTTTTGATCGTCGTTGAATAGCACAAAAATGATGTTAAGTCCTAGAGAAATAAACATGTCGTGCTATGTTGAGTTGCCTTGAAGAATCTGAGATGGTCTGAGATACACAACAAATCTATACAAGACTCAGAAATCCCTCATGTGTGTGTGTGTGTCCATTTGGGCGGCTGCAGCGAAGCAGCCGCCCACTCAACTGTTGCCGCCCCCCAAAAAAAAATATGAAGGCTTCGTCGATGCTAAAACCTTGGACAGCGCATGTGTCGCCGACGTCCTGACGTCGCCCGGACTCGGCACACCGGTGCTGCCGGACACGGTGAAGCCGCGCCTAAAATGGCCTCTTTTTCCCGGCTGAATGGCCCGGTCGGATTAGATCTCTGCGAGTCAGTGGTTTCCCGGAAAAAAAAAAAGGGTGCCACGTAAAGGTTCACTTCGGAGCATCCCTTGGCCGCCTTCAGTCCAAAGCAGTGGCAGTCACCATTTGTTGTTGCAGTTGGCGATTTGGATGAAATTGCGCATGGGCATGGTCAGTCAATCACCTTCTGTTCAATTTCCGCTACTCTCCCACCTAAGGGTCAAAGGACATCTATCTTAGACACATAACAAACATGGAACCCCCATTGAAACCCATCTTTGGTATTTCGATCCACCCCTGGGACCCAAGAGAACTCCCTGCTGAGTCTTGTTTGTGCCCAATCCGACCGTTCCGCCCCGTTCCCCCCCGGGCGAGGCGCGCGCCACGATGTGCAGCGCGGTTTCACAGCCGCGGCCCACGGCGTTCACATCGGCTCCTTGGAGTTCCCGGGGAACGCCGACCGCGGTGTGGATGGGCGGATGACGGCGGATGACCGTGGGTGGATGAATGAAAAATGGGGGGCAGAACACGGCGATGCCAAGGGAGAATCCAAGGTTTTAAATCGGAAAATCCAGATGGAAGTCGCACAAAGCATCACTGAAGACAGTAGTTAGGTCCCTCAACCTCTGGAGGCTGAGTAGTCTCATCTCAAGCCAGAGAATAGGCTACAAATGGCTACAGAGTTTTTTCATCTCACTGTCCTGAAGCATTTCCCTTAAGATCCTTAAGAACAGTCCTACAAATTCACTCAGACTGGATGTTCTGTGCCAAAGAATTGGGTATTGGCAATTGGTGCTAAAAAAGACCCACAGAACTCGACACACATCCTCCAAAACCCCAAGCTTTCCCCAAACTTTCCCCACTTACCACCCACCCACCCACCCACCCCATCCGCTCCTGCCCACAGAAGCGCGTCCAGTCGCCCTGCTGCGCCCTTCAACCGATCCTCCAAGGCCGCACGGCAGCTGGCACGCGCCTCGGCTTCCGCGAGCGACCGGCTTCCCGCGACGCGAGCCGACTGGGGGAGCCCCGACGCACCCGGAAAAAGGGTGGAGGTGAAGCCATCCGCGAAGGTCGGAGAGAGAGAGAGAGAGAGCTTTTCTCCAACGATCGAGCTGGATGGACCAAAAGAGATCCGGACAGACCTGGAACAGTGGACTTGCAAGCTCTGGGACACACTGGCATCAAAATAGAATCGGGATCCATCAGGTCTCTCGGATCAAAGTGTACACGATGTGTCCATCCACCAAAACGATTTCGATGGAACGTCTCATGGGCGCTGGCATTCACCTGCTCTTTGGCATGTGAGACCCAAATTTGCTGCCCAGCTCCCCAACTGGGGACTTTTCGCATCCAGATCAAGGAAATCCGGGGACTAAGCACTTTGAGGCCATCGCTAGTAGGTTGGAGGCCATTAGTACTAGCAACAAGAAGCTACGAGTAGCTAGAAGACTTTTGTGGCATCCCTCACGCCCTCAGAGTAGCACTCACACACTGCGCAAGTTGATCCTTCAAGGGGTGCTCCGACTCATCGCCTTGGCTTGGTTGTGATGGAAAAGCGGGTGTCCAAATCTTCTCGATAGGAAACAGGTGCAGCTGTGGGTGAGAACCCATACCCTCAGCTGGGGTGCATGGATAGCGGAGCTTGAGCACAACATGGGACACGTCCAAGGGCCCAAGGGGTGCATTGGTCGTTCCTTGTGCTTCGACTTCTCTTGTAGTTGTTGTTCTGAGGGTCAACCCAGGTCGGTCCGGGGTTTTGGAGCCACATCCCCAAAGTGATACACTTGCGAAGGAGACAACAAGGAGTGTTTTTTGGTTCATCTCACTCCACTAAATGGATCCCACCAAGCCTTCGGGCCACAGAAGTGCCTCACAAGTCCTTTCATGCTGAAAGAAGTGACATGCTTGCTTGAGGGCCAGCAAGAACTCCTCGTGTTCTGCCACACTGACGACCCACAGATCTTGGGCGAAGATCAACCTGGCATGCAAGTGGACTCTTTTGGCCCTCTCAAGAAATATGAGATCACAAAGCACCAGTCGGACAAACAGATCCTACCTATGGAGGTTGACAGTCACAGCACCAAGAGAAGCTTTCTGGTGTATGCATACTACCCAAATTTCAAAGAATGCAGGGGCTTCAAATCTGCCAAATCTGCCACCAGCAGTCCCTTTTTGTACCATGAACTCACTTAAATTGCAGTCATGCTCTATGGTTTCACTATGTCCAGTTTCCGGTGAACAAGACCATAGTGAATTTTGCTGTGCAGAATCACTCTCTATTGTTTTGGGGGCATCGAAAAATCCTTCAATCTCGTACATCTGAGCCACAACCAGGAAGGCGGCCCTGTCACGAAGCCCTTCGCTTGCAAGGGGCCATCCTGAAGGCCCGAAGGCAGACATCTCAAAGACATCGACACCAAAAGCCACAAGAAGCCACCACGTCTTCACCGGCTTTGAGGGCTTCTTTGGTAAAACCAACCCAATCCTTCACGGTTTGTAAGGATGTCGATGTCCCCAAACAGCTCATGCGACAACAAGGGATGGTGAGTCAGGCTTGCCTCTCCTCCCGGGCGCATTTCAGGGGCGTCACGTACGGCCGTACGAGCATGTCGATGCCCTGCGCGGATCCCTTTCATCCAGGACTCCATCCCAGCAACTCTTGGAAGCCCTGCAGCGCCGTCAGGGGCTGCTTGATCGACGCGCGGAAGCGCCGCCGAAGCTCTAAGATGTACTGCGCGTCCTTCGGAGGCCACAACAGCCATTCTTTCGCCCTATAGGCATACTTTGGCCCTTAAATAGATCAAACACGGTGTCCGGTACGTTTGAGAGGGGGCCCACCCCGCGTTTTCTTTTTCTCTGATTGGGGATCGCTCTAAACACGACTACCGTCCTTGTGTCTGTCAAGCAGAAATGAGGGATGCACACCTGACCAGATAAGTAGTATACCAACTCAATTGGTAGGTGAACATACACACACACAAGTGGACCATTCTACTGATGTTATCCGTTTTCCCAGTTGCGATCACCAAAGGACCTCGGGAAGTTGAGGAGAGCTTTCCTGAGATCAGACCACGTTGGAGCTTGCAGCGAGCTGCAGGAGAGTTGTTCTTCAAAGGTGGCAGATTCATTGGCTTGAGCTCTCAAAACCGAAGAAATCAAACAGGCATCACTTCTCCTGCTTGACCACGCGCACGCTCACCGGCATGTTGAATCCCAGGCCGACCTGGTGCGGAATGTGAGGACCGAACCTGCATCCTGGGGAAAGAACTATTTGACAGGCTGGCATGACAACACACACCAGCACGCGACACATGAGTCACTGAGTTTGGTTGTGGGTTTGGGTGTGAGATTCATGTCAAGAAGGTGTCTATTTCAGACACAACTACTCGGTCGTCGGCGATCTCCATTTGGATGGCAACAGCTAGCAACCACCAAAGCCCTGAGCCTCCTAAATTTAGATTCAACTGCGACTGATGTTGGACACTCAACAGCCCGTTTTGAGTGGAGCAGAGGATCTCAGGATTGGGATCTTTTAACATGCAAAACAATGAGAGATCCTTCTGATCCCTCTTGGGCGGGCCGTTTGGGCAAGTCCGCCCGAGGTCGCTGTGCCGCGCAGCAACGGTCGTGGCGCGGTTCTTGGACGTTCCTGTGCCGCGGCTGAGCCACTAAGATCAACAGGAACCCGAGCAGGATCACCAGCAAGTCAGAGAAACCAGAAGCGAACGACGCCAAAAAGATCAAGCCCACGAGGCTGAGCACCACTCCACCTGCTTTCAAAGCAGCAGGGTTTCCCTTTCTTCCCATGGGTTCGGTTTCACACTACGTTCTTGTGGCTCATTGTTCTGGTTTGCTGTGGTCCCTGCTTCTCTCTCCCATTTACCTCTTTTCATGCCACTTGCTCAGAGTCACGCCAACTGTGCTGGGCTCGGTTCACAATGGACGAGTTCCCGTGGGAAGGTGTGTATAGTAGACTCACTAGTAGACAGTATATATATATATATGTTTTATTTATATTGGGTCTATCCTATTGCCAGCAACAGTGGAGGATGATGGTTAGTAAAGGGCTCTTTCTAAAAAAGTGATGCTTGTTTACTGACAAATTATGTATATATACAGTGTGTATATATATAGTATATGTGAATTTTGTACATAATATTGCATAATAATACATAATAGTATATTCACAGGGCAGATAATGGACAAGGCATGATGTATAAGTTCCTGTGCCCATATCCATGCAGTAAGACCCCATCCGCTGATCCGTACTAGTGCAAAAGGTATCTCTGTTTCGGTCGATCAAAAGCTTGTTGCTAGCTTCATCGCTACAATCTGTTGCTGCTGATGTCTGTTCCAAAACCAACCGTGCGCCCAAGCTGTCGGTGTCCCCCTGTGAACTCTTGCAGGGCATTGGATTGAGAGTCCTGGCTTTTTGAGGATACCTCACAGTCACAGTCAGAACAACAGGGAAAGAACAGCAGGGCCAACTTGCTTTGCAGGATTCCCTTGGGGCCACATGCAGAAAGCCCACAGCCTCCAGTCCTCCCAGCGCGCATTCCGGCCACAGGGTCTCCCGAAACGACTTTCGAAAGCGGAGGCGTTCTTCATCAATCATCCAGGGTCTAAGACTTTCGAGCTAAGCCCACCCAACTCAGGATCCAACTCAGTGTCCAAAGTAAAGGCCGGTGAAGATATTCCAAAAAATAGGAGCTCGTCACCATTCCACCAGCTGTCGAATCACTAACAGCCAATGGGCAGTTTACCAAAACCATCCAAAACCAACGTCCGTTCATGGTCCTCTGCATTGATTCGCCTTTCCATTCCAGCCTAGACACACAACAAGAAAATACCATAGAAGATCTTGGCAGCCACAGCCAAGCGAGAAGCGAAGGCTCCCCGATTCTCGCCAGCGCTCTGTCGCGCACCGAGCGAAAGCTCTGAGCCGTTGGCGTTGTGAGGGGTCATGGCACACAGCGAAGGCGGATCTTCAGGTCCTTGCTTTGCTGAAGGCGAGCTATTCATCATTGTTGGTCCCATGCTGACGGAGGAAAGTGGTTTGACCGCGTGGCATGACCCTGAAGCAAAACAGCTCTATTTGGGGGCCTTCGACGATCACAACCATCGGTACAAGTCATAGCTTCTTTTTCATGTTTCAAATGGACAAGGGGCCTCAGTTGCCTCGATCTTCACACATGTTTGTGGCTCCTCACCCTGGAGCCAAACGCTGTCGACACCGGGCCGCTTGATGCCTTTGGACCTGACCATCACCCCGAGAACTCATCGTGCTCTCTACACTTTCTACACCCTGAGTCACAAAGTTCTAGACTTCGAGTCACAACTTAGAAAGAAAATGAAAAATAGGTTCTCCCAAATCATCACGTGGCCGAAAACGGCCGGACGCGCCGAGCTGCCCAGGTCACCACCACCGGCTCTGGCAGCCAAACCTGGGAAAGTGGGGAAGAAAGCTCCGGCCGTGGGAAGGGCGAAGAGACTCTACAGGAACAAGTTCGAAGATCAGCAAATGTCCAGAATCTGGGCCTCATCTGTCGTCAAGTCACCTGTCGTCATTTCAGCATCGGCAGACCTCTTTTTTTGGAAAGCTGCTTTTTGATTCGAATCGACCGGCCAGTGGCTTGAAGTACCTGCCGCCAGTCGAGATGAGGTTTTTCTTTTGTTACAGGGCATGCAAATGTTTTTGTTACGAAGCATCGAAGTCAAGTGGTGTTCAGTCCAAAGAAACATTGGACACATCGGGCTACACCTGCTTGAAGAAAAACACTCGAGGAAGGGTGGACACGAAAATGAGAATTGCAACCCCTCACGAAAATGGTGTCCCTTCCCCTTCTCCTCCCCGCCGAAGCATGCAAGGCTTGCAATGCAGCTTTTTTTTCTGAGGATAGATGCAATAGATCAACGAGTCTTTTTGCATCTTTTTGCCATGTTTCACGTGGTCGTATCAGCGAATCTCCCTTTCTTTCGCGACGACCCAGCCCAGAGTGTTCATTGATCCAGCTTCTGGTGTGTTCATTGGGAACCCGTTCCAGAAGTGGGTCCTGCTTGGGGTGTGAAACACAAAGCCCCGCCGACCCCACGGTGGACAAAGCACAGTCCGTCCAAGTGAGCCAAGGCCACATTCAGATGCTCGCAGCAGTTGGCCAGCAGGTCAACGGTCTGGAGTGACAATGCCAGCGACGCGACGGAAGACTAGAAAAAGACCCCCAAATAGATACACCCCAGTAAACATGGTGTCCAAACACCGTGCCACGATCTCTATGCTGGATTCCTTTTCAACGAACTTCGGCAAAAGCGACGTGTTGGTAAATAGCATGTTCTCCAAATATGTCGATTCCTTCCTTTGTTCATTCCGATCTGTTTTCCACCCAGTTTCATGCGTTTCACAGACAAAGAAGTTCTCACACAGCAGTGGACAGTGTTTCGCTGGAGGAGACTTTAGCTCTGCTTCCTCACCGCACCGTTGGCCACGTGACCCGTGACCCCACCGTAAATCCAGGACTTCACGCAGGAACTCGTGTGGTTCGTCCCCCCTCAGCCTGGATGGTCCTATCAGCCTCCGACCGGTGAAGCGAACCCCACGAACCCCAGGACCAGGGCAGTTCGCCTCGCAGCGCGAACTCGCAGTGGCGCAGTGGCGTCTCACGCTCACGTGACCCCATGTGAGCCTCCGGAAACCTCATCGAGATGAGCACACAACCCGAAGTGGTCCCAGACTTTAAAACACAAAGCAATATGTTAAAAAGAAGAGAGAGAGAGAGAGACAGAGACAGTGACAGAGACAGAGACAGAGAGAGAGAGAGAGAGACAGAGAGAGAAACAAGTGCCCAAAAACAGACATCTGTTTTCCGCAACCCCTCTTTCATCCATTCGCACCAACCGGCCCCGTGTCATCCGCCGGAACACGTCCCGCAGTCCGGTCCCCAGGTCACCGTCCTCGGGCGCTGCTCCGAGCTTCAGGGCGAGGTGGAGAGCGGGCGTCACCTCGGGACGGAGACCGGTCGCCTCCTTCGACGCGTGAGTCGCGGGAGACGAAAAAGCGTGAACTGGGTGGCCTTTCCGGGGTGCAAAGAAAGAACGGAGACGCCTTTCGCACTGAAAAGCGTGGAAATCCCAATGGGATCGGAGTGTCCGAAAAAGCTCCGAAACGACACCGGAAGTAGATTGTCGACCATCGGGTCTGTCCGGAAGTCGATTTGACCGGGGTCTGACGGACATCGGGAGCTTTGCGGTCTTCCCTTGGTTGGAAGACGGAGCTTGTTCGCCTGGTGTTCGAACGGAATGACTGGCGTTGGGTCCAGGGGGGGGAGCGCGCTGTGGTCGTCGGGACGACACGTCAAGAATGGGCTTAAGGCTTAGTCCGAAGGAGCGTCGTCGTATCTGGCGCAGTCTGCGCGCTTGGGATCGTCTTGGATCGTCTTTCCGCTCTGAAACCGACGGCTTCTTGACAGACATGTTCCCCCTTTGCTTTCCAAGAGGAACATGCAAACTACACCACCACAGACCCCAAACAGTTGACTGAGGTGCACTTAAAAGCATTAAGAACCCCAACAGTAAACTGTTTGGGGAAATAAAAAGACTAAAAGGGTGGCTGGTAACTAGTAGAAGCATTTCAGGGCCGCTTCCCTTTGACCTCCTTGCTATTCTGTCCAACATGAATCAGGAGCTTCCCACTCCTCGCGCCGTGGGCCTCGGCCTCGCTCAGCAGCCTCTGTGTCTCCCGAAAATCATCCTGGCTCACCTGGTTCACGCAAGAAAGTTTAGGCAGAATGACATTCAACCTGCACTTGGTTGATTCCAATACCGACAGGTGGTGTGCTTGGAACCACCTTCTCCCCATACCGTCAGGTGGTGTACTCGGAACGACATTGTCCACATACCGTCAGGTGGTGTACTTGGAGCGGAATTCAACCTGCACTTGGATGATACCCATACCGTCAGACGCGACGCTGTACTTGGAATGCAATTCAACCTTCACTTGGATTCTGGATGATCCTCAATTCATCAGTTAGTGTACTTGGAACGGCATTCAACCTCCACGTGGATGATCCCCATACCGTCAGGTGTTCGTCGTTTATATATTGTATCACTATACCGGCACCTTTCTCGGCTACCATCCTGTCAAGCCACCGCCAGCGCCAGCCGCTCGCTGCGGCTGGAGGAGCGAGCCAAAGCACTCAACCTGAGCGAGATAAAACCTTGGCATGAGCACTCAGGAAGGCCCCCGAAAACGACAAACGGCCTCCAAGGCGTCTCGAAGTCATATAGGTGGCGGTATTAGAAGACCAAGAGATTGAAAAAGAAACTCGCCACCTCATGGTATATCCTCTAAGCTGTGGATCTGGGTCAACTAAGCAGATCTGGGAGCCCAGGAACACACTGCGCATACTGGAGCTCCGGGTGAAGTCCGTCCCAAAGAACTCTCCCGACCTCGGTGGCACATGGTGCTCGGTGGCACATGGCGCTCATGCGGGGTTGTGAAAACAAAGGCCCCGCCCAATGTAAATCCCGAAAGGCTGAAAAATCGGTACTAGAAGGAGGTCACCTAATCAATTCCATGGACAAGTGTAGACCTGATCAAAACCTGATCTCAAGCAGTTCTCGCATATCAGGATCCACTCAAAAATAATAACTGATATCTTTAAAAAAGAACGTCTGCACTTTCTTGGGCTGAGCATAGACCCCCAAAATCACCAATAGTCCTCCAGGTTCCGCAAAAAAATATGAGCGTCTGTCTGTGTGTGTGTGTGTGCGTGTCTGTGTACATACTATATATGTACAGTGTTGTGTGTTCATGTGTATATATAACACTGTCTATATATATATATATGCATCTAGTTGGTACCCAGCCCGGAACCCTGCTTCAACGTATAAGAAAATGTTATATATATATATACATGCATGCCACATGCGATACCTTTTATGTTTTATATACTATATCTTGCAACCACACTTGTTGTATGTATTTATGCATGTGTTTGAGTGTCAATGAGGAACCCGGAACCCTCAAAGAGCCAGCCCACCTGAGCGGGTGCGCCCCGGGCGACGCTCCGGAGGCGTCCGGCTCGAAAAATCCCTCAAGGTTCATCCATCCATCAGAGCGGATGATGTGGATGTCTTGATATGAAAAATGAAGGAATGTGAGTGTTCTAGGGCAGCTTGGTTGGACTTGGTAAAGAAATGCACAATGTCGACAGATGAATTTGATCTTTGTGGTCCAATGGTCGGATATGACCCGTTCATCCGTGGGTAGAGGGAACAAAATCTCCTGGATCTGTCTGATTGTTTCTGGGTGGGCCTCCACAAAAGAAGGAACATCGAGCCTTTTTCCTTCAAAAAGCTTCGTAAGTCTCTATGAAGCTTGGTTCATTCCAGGGACCAAGTGAACTTCTAGATCCTTTTACCCAGTCCATGACACCGCTCCCTCAACCGGGTCCTCTTGAGGACTGCATCAGGCCTCGGTCACAGCGGCCTGCTGGGGCTCCGACCAATCCTCCATCTCCCGCCGTAGCCTCGGACGTGCCTGGGAAGGCACGTTCCACGGCGAAGTGGCGGCCACAGAAGCCGAAGCCGAACGTGCCTGGCTAATGTGAGAAACTCCACAAGCTATGGAATATACATCCCTCCAAGTCCAAAGACCCAGTCAACTTGACTTCCTGAAGTATTGGTTTTTGTACGACCAAGACTTAAGTCAAGTGGGGTCAATGGGTCAAACCATAGGCTCTGCAAGTCCTGCTGAAACGGACATCAAGGTTCTCCTCAATTTCTACGACTCAATGTCATGCGCCCAAAAAGGTATATTGATGTATATTGCAATAGTGCAACGAACATAGCACTTCACCTGCTTTCCTATCGCTTTCCGAAGGAGGCCAAACTCGTCTCTGTTCAAAAATCTCGCGGAGAGCAAGAGCGCCCAACGGCACGCGGTTGGCTTCCAGGGTCCGTCGAGCCTTTTTTGGAAGAAATGGCTGCTTGGCACCACTTCTGAAAGAGGAATCTCTGTAAGTTCACCGGGGCCGGGGCCCAGACCTACCGACTTCGTTCCTGGCCACAGCCGCATGTCCTTCCTCCGAACTCCTCGACTCCTCGCGTCGCGCGTCGCACCCCGGCGTGTCCCTCTCGGTGACCCGGACCGCCAGGGAGGGGTCGTTTCGCATGATCACAGGAATCATCGAGACCTGGTAGCAGATGGCACATGTGGGAGCGAACACAGAAATGGTCCTGGCAGATGGTAGCAGAAATGCTTTAAAGAAAGGAAGCCTTAGTACTTAGTACAAACAACGAGGTGAACAAGCTTCTTTTAGATACATAGATGAATAGTACGTGAGCCAAGGTATAGAGATCTAGTTCAAACGACAGAATGCTACAACGTGATAGCCTGTGCCAGTCGCCTTGTTGCTTGGGGTAGGCAATGTGTCTGAACAAAATATCCTGGTTCGCCCGTGCCTACTGAGGTCTACTGATTCCTCAAGTGTCAAGTTGATCCAAAAATAATCTGCAAAGAAGTTGCAATGTTCTCTGTGTTAATTTGCATCCTGGCTATGTCCATCCATCATGCACCTCCCAATAAGAGGTGTTGGTCAATGTTGGTCTTGTATCTTCCCGGTAAAACAATGGTTCCCATGAAAAAATCACACACCGCCTTGCAAGCCCTCCAGATCGCGCAAAAAAGAATGAAACGTCTCGGTGAGGGTGGCAATCCTGGGGTCTCCCCAATGTCTCTGAAACAGCAGTGTGGTGGTCCCCAAACGACAGCAGAGTGATCCCTCCAAACTGCTTTGGACATCGATTTCGGGTGGAAGTTCAACCCATGTGAGGACCTCTTTGCGTGAAGTGTCTTTCTTGAGCGCATCAAGCAAAAACCTGAACCAGCTGAGATGAATAGGTGACAAAGTGATTTCAACACCTGTTGGTAGTTTGTGCCATCGTCAAAGCAGCTTTCCTAAAGCCTGCAATGCCTTGTGGTGGCGGAAAGGGTCAGTGCGCCGCATGGTGCTTTCAGGTACGTTGAGGCAGAGCCGTTGAGGCAGGCTCGCCCGAGAGGGGTTTTTGTCACGTTCTTTTCACCTCGACCATGGACAAGTGGTTCTGTTGGATGGCTTCTGGGCAATGTGATTCTGTGAAGGTTCTGATAGGGCCCAACTTCGCCAAAGGTTCTGGGTGGCCTCAACCTGGCAGTGCTCAAAACTGACAGTTCGCCAACCATTGTTGGCCAAACCTGTCTGTTTCAAACCTCCCTGTTCTGCTTCGTCTCTCATGGTCGCTGCTCAGCTCATGAAGCCAAAAAAATACGCTGCGAGCCAGGACCGTCAAGGTTCCCAAACGGATGGGGACCCCCCTGATGCCCTGCCGGGCACAACCACCCGGCCATGCCGGGGTTTTGCCATCGATCAGCTCTGTCAAACGCGAAGTGGTGCCATCAATTTTTGTTGAGAACTGACAGCCATCTTCCCTCTGCAGTTGGAATGGTAGCTCAGTTCAGTATGGCAACAGTTCTGCACAAGAATAGGAACTCATGCAAAGCATACCGTATTCCTATAATATATATATATATATATTATATATATATTATATATATATTATATATATATACATATGTGGAAGCATTCCCTGCTCTCAAGCTGACTCAGTTGCAGTTGCGAACTCCTAAGCCTCGCTCCGTGTGCTCCCCCGAGTCATCCAACCCCCCGGCGAACGGCGTAAACGGCGCTCTGGCCATGCCCATCAGGTCGGACCAGTGATCCAAAGGCTGGGAACCTGGGAACCTGGACTTCAACCACTTGCGGAGCTTGCGTCTCCCCAAGGCCGTAAAGAACGCACCCCAAAAAAATCCGGTGTTGGACGTGAACAACTGGGCACGAAGCGGTTCACCTCACCACCCCATCGCCCTCGCAGCTCCTTTCGCGTCGCATCCAGTGACTCCCTCCCCACACGGGATGATCGCATTCGACGGGCGGTGTTCTTCGGTGGCCGTGGTCGATGACAGGGTACCCACCGGATCTGTGCAAACAATGGAAAAAACACCCGCTGATGGCTGTTGGTTGATGAAAATGACCTCAAGGGTCATGTTAACCTCTCCAAGTGCCCAAGCCCCGGCGATGTCGTCGTCAGAGCGTTCTCTCCAAGCAACGAAGAAAACGAAGGAATCGGCAACAAACGAAGGTCAGACTATCACATCCACGCCCCGAACCCTCTCCTAAATACACAAAAGAGAACATCAAGACACATCAAACTCACCATCCAGCCGTGCTTCTTCGAGTGACATCCATGAGCGCTGTGCGCTGTAATTCATCTCAGTCGTTGTCTTCACCCGACCAGGTCTCCCGTCCGACATCCCGTCGACTCCCGCATCGCGGAGATTCGATCAGCTTGACACCAATGAGTTCGTCTCGTTCTCCGCATTGCTCCCAACTCCAGCGAATTAGAAGAAACAAGTCAATCCTCTTTAAACTTGCGACATTGTTTCTATCTTTCGGGGACAACTAAGACGTTCGCAAAGACTTTCGCATGTTTGGTGACTTGAATACCTGACCAAGACAAACCCACTCTCAGAAGCCAAACAAATGCCCCGCTGAGACAAGACGCCAATCGGCGTCTTGTAATCCTTTGTACACGCGTCAGAGCTCTTCAGCTGAGAGTGATCCTCAACGTGAAGGATCGCCCTCTTCGGGATGTGACGTGTTGAAGCCCAGGTTTTGTCGAAGTCGGACATGACAAGAGTTATCAAAATTATGTGTTGTCAGTGTGTGTGTGTGTGTGTCTCTGTGTCTCAACCAGGGCACAAGGTTGCTTCCTTCTAAGATGTGATCTACTGGAGGACACCATTGGTGTGAGAAGTGTGAGATATGGCAAAACGTCCATTTTTCCAACACCCCATGAGCCTTTCGCCGGCCAAAATCGCCTTTTCATGCCTTGAAACACGCCACCGGACACCAAAGGTCATGGGCCGCTCTCGTTCGCTGCGAAAGGGATGGCGGCGTTTCTCGGTACGACCGTGATGGATGCCGAAGACCGGTGAGACCGGAAGAGGTGCACCCACTGGGACCTCCGGGTGTTGATTGTTTGTGGGATTCTGAATGGTTTGTTGGGTCTAGTGACTAGTGTTTCTGATTCCATTTCTTTCAGAATTACCTCGTAGCTACTTGCCCGAAGCTACTTGCAATTGTTGGGAAATGCAATCATGCACTTCATCCAGACTGTTCGACCAAGCATGGGCCCTTGGAAGAGTCAGAGTCATGGTCCAATAGTGGTCCCCAGATAGATTCTCCAATACGTCGCTGAGCGGGTTCATTTTTCTAGTCTACTATGGTTTCCGCACCTGATGACCCTTCGATAAGCTCCTCCAAGACCCAGAAGCCTCAAAGACCAACGAAGTTCTCCTCCTCCCTGAAAGCAGCTCGTCGCTCATCTCTGGCCTGGAAAAGCAGCCCGGCGTTCCACCCTCAGGGTCCCCGCATCGGGCGTTCCACGCGCCCAACGCGCCAAACTCCGAGCGTCCGGTCGCTCGGAAAGAGGCGGCACCCTGCGTGTGCCTGTGGAGGCAGTGGTCCTGCATCCACCAGGCGCGCAGTCCGCGCATCGCGCCAGCCGGGCCGACCCCGGTCACCTTGGAAGTGCCGAGCGGTGATCGATGAGAGACATGGAAAGAAGCACCAGACAAGGGTAGAACCATGTATCATGGTAGACGGCATCAACGGATCTATCTGGACAGATACATGGTTCTATCTGGATCTATCAAGATACATCAATAGAACCATCAACGGCATCAAGATGTATCTGGACAGATTGCAACTGATCTACATAACCGGCCACCGCAGATACAGATCCAGGACCACAGACAACTTCAGTCTAGTGCCGCTTTGGTGTTTTCTGAACTTTTCCAAACGGCTTCCACTTTGGTTTGCTTTGGCTTGTACCCTCATAGTGCAAATCATGTCCTTTCCATTCCTTTCCTATCTCCAAGCTACACTCCATTCAAGCAGTACAGTACTACCACCTTCAGTAGGTTCACTGGAAGGCGTGCAAAATCTATCAACCCTCAGGTATAGCCATGTAGGCTTCCCCCATGGACTAGACTCCAGTCCCCTGAGCCGACGGACCCAGGTCTCCTGCGGTGAAAGCTCGGCAACGGCCCCGCGAAATCGCTGAGCCAGAGAGTTCCTCCCCCCACGCCAGAGAGTTCCGCGCGGGGTACCGACTTGGGTTTCTGGTTGCGTTCATGAATCGTTCGTTCGTGTCTGCTCTGATCTTTCATGAGAGATACCGATGGATCGATCAAATCCTGCAAGGAGGTGGAGAAAGGAGAAGGAAGAAATGGATGGGGTCGATGAGGGTCAAGTCGTGTCAAGTCCAAACATGAAGAACATAGGTTGGAACATGTCAATGTGTTAATGTCGTTCACTAGCCATACACTCACTTTTGCCAAAAAAAATTCTGAACATGGGAGGCTACCCTTCTCGTAGGCCGAGTTTGTTCTCTGAACAACACTCAAGAGCCACGGTCATCGTTACTGCAAACAAATCAGCATCTGTGAAAACCCGACATAGGCATGCGGCATGTTGCTCTTGCGGTGACCACCAAAAAAGAAATCAAAAAAAATGTCTTCATCACAGACTCATGTAGCACAGGGCCTATCCGGATCAAATCAGGTAGGTCCACCAAATAAAGAAACACCTCAGGGGTCTCACCGACAGATCACGTTGCCTGGCTGGAGATCACGGCGCCTGGCTGGAGAGGCATGGCGCCTGAGGTCGGGTTTTTGAAAAGACCTCGCGAAAACCCCATGGAAGCACCCTGTGGGAACCCTGTGTCACAACAAGCTCTGGTTCCCTCTACATCTGGTTCCGCTCGCATCGGTGTGGTCCTTTAGTTGTTCACCCAGTTGGCTCAAGTAAGTGAAGGGTGAAAACACCGATTTCTTTGCAATCATACTCTCAAAGCCACAGAGCCCTCTTAGCATCCTCCAACTCCTCTCTCATTCCAAACACATCAAAACCTGGCTCAAGCCCACACCCGAGAATCATTCTTAAACTTCTGGTCACCATCATCTCAGGGTACCAAAGACAAGCGCTCCAAACACCCCCAACCGGCGCTGCCCCAACCGAGCCCAAAGCGACGGATCCACCGCCTCGGAGGCGGACCCGCCGAAGGCCCCGAAGGCGAAGGCCCAGGCCTCGCCGTTGAAAGCCGAACCGAGGGGAACTGAGGGGTGAAGAGTAGCTTCTTGTTACTAGTAGTAGTGCACTTGTTACTAGTAGCGACGCCCTTGTTACTAGTAGCTTCTTGTTACTAGTAGTAGTGCACTTGTTACTAGTAGCGACGCCCTTGTTACTAGTAGCTTCTTGTTACTAGTAGTAGTGCACTTGTTACTAGTAGCGAGGCCCTTGT